AGACACTACAATTAAAAACTGAACGCGGCTGCTCAATCCAGTTGAAGGACAGTCGCATCACAGATCGGATTTCATTTCTCCAGTGAGGAGAGTGAGTCGAGCTGACTGACAAGAAGAGTGAGGTGAGACCGGAGAGACAAGACGAACACGGATGATTTAGTTTCTAAACTAGATGCAGAAGCGCCTGTTTGGCAATATTTTGGATTTTGAAAAGCCTGTTGACTTTTGCCGTTTATCTAAGGTGATTTTGGAAGTTTTTTTTAACATCCGTTTCTTATTTAATTGGTTCCACATTGTTTGCTGATTTTTACTTTATTTAAACTCTGTGTCATTTATTTATTTTATTTGACATCAAGGTGTATGCTGTGCCTCCAAGCTGTCTAATTAGTTTTGCTAATAAACGTTCTACGTTTCTTATTTATTTGGTTATATATTATACATGTTTACTTATTTCCAGTTTTGTATACCTATTTAAACTTTATGTAAGTTATTTGTTATTTTATATTAGGCATAGCCTGCCCTATAGCATGGTGTATTTTTATTCGTTTTGTTAATAAAAGTTCTATGTTTTATATATAGGCTAAAGTGAGTTTGACGTTGTATTTTGTTGTTGCATTCAAGCAATTGACGCCGAATTGCCGCTAATTCGAAAGTGAAAGTAAAATGTGCACGGTGCTTTTAAGCTATTTAATAGCGCAGGAAAGTGAGGAAAAGAGGGGAAATTTAAACGAACAATTGCGCCGAATTGCCGCTATTTGAAAGTGAAAGTAAAATGCGCACGCATTTTGCAAGCTATTTAAAAGCGAGGAAAAGAGGGAACGCCCCTGCCCCCACGGTGATACCGGTATTATCGTGTTGTCACACGTCGATTAACCGGTGGGAACATTTCCTCACCGTCACAACCCTAGTGTGAACTTGACATATTTTGGGATTGAATGGAATTTTATTGTGTTTATTGTTGTTTTTTACTTAGCTGACGGCACCGACCACCCCTTCGGCTCCAGCGGTGGTTCAGTCTCAGATCCCCAGAGCTCAAGGTCAGAATCAGCCATCTCTGGCACAGGAAGAACTCATGATGTCTATGGTGAACAACCTGGCCTCGGTCACCTCTCGCACGTCTATGAGTGTGATCATCGTTGGAGGAGTGGTGAGAATTATCGCCGTTTTTCCTCATTGATGCTTTAGAATCCCCTTTATTTTCTATAATAAATGTGACCCTGGAGCACAAAACCAGTCATACGTGTCAATTTTTGGAAATTGAGATTTATACATCATATGTAAGCATACTATACATCATATAAATAATCTTTCCATTGTTGTGTGGTTTGTTAGGATCGGACAATATTTGGTCGAGATACAACTATTTGAAAATCTGGAATCTGAGGGTGCAACAAAATCAAAATATTGAGAAAAACGTCTGTAAAGTTGTCCAAATGAAGTTCTTAGCAATGCATATTACTAATCAAAAATTAAGTTTTGATATATTTACAGTAGGAAGTTTACAAAATATCTTCATGGAACATGATCTTTACTTAATATCCTAATGATTTTTGGCATAAAAGAAAAATGAATAATTTTGACCCATACAATGGGCCGTTCTTGGCCAGAATAAGCTGCAATGTGTTTGATTCATAAATTTGGAAATATTTGTTATGAAATCATGTGAGTGACTATTCCTTGTGTGAAGGTGCGGACACATTAGCGAAATTCTGTGGGTAAAAATGTCCATTGTCTGTTATCAATAGTGTAGTAATATATGAAGTAACTTTCAAACCAAGCAGCTGGGTGAAATAAAGAAATAAATGACAAAAAAAGACAAAATATTATATGCCATTGATGAATATTTACTGAATTATCTACTGTTTTGTTGATGGGGGCATTAAGATGCATCCAACTTTTGAAAGATGGATGCATCGTTATCTCGTTTTTACACAGAGATTGGTAGGTCTGTTAGTAAAATCTGTTAACTTTAGCAATCCTTGTTGCATTATATGCCAGTGGTGACCGTTCAAAAATGCCTGTAACTCAGTTGAACCATATAGGGCCTTAAAAATTAAGATTTCAAAAGAAAAGTTTGTTAAAAACCAACATCAAAAAGGATAATATTTAATACTTCCTGAGTTACAGGCATGCAATCTTTGGGGAAAAAAAACGCAAAAAGTGCTTTTTCCCCATTTTTGAACGGTCACCACTGGCATATAATGCAACAAGCATTGCTAAAGTTAACAGATTTTACTAATAGACCTACCAATCTCTGTGTGAAAATAAAATAACGATGCTGCCATATTTCTAAAGTCACTTTCCACCTCCTGTAATTTGGCTCCAAATCTCATTTTGACCCCCTCGACAAAATAGTGGATTACTCAGTAAATATCCATCCATGGCATTTAATATTTTGACTATTCGTGTTTGTCTTTCTTCATAAAAAATATTAACAATTTCAAAAATTGTAGCCAGGGAAGTTTCTGAAATTTGGTTGATTTGAGACAGAATGACCCAGCTGTGAATTTGCGATACCAACTTGGACCCGTTGCAAAACCTCACATAAAATTCCCAATTCCTAATCCCAAACCGCCCACAAAACTCCCTGAATGACGGTACATGTGACCTTAACTTCTCATGGGTTGGAAATGAATGCATTGTTATTGAAGTTCATCTCTGTTCCCTCTGTTAGGTGTGGCGAACAGTTGGCTGGCGTCTGATCGCTCTCTCCATTAGTCTGTATGGCATGCTGTACCTGTATGAAAAACTCACCTGGACCACCAAAGCCAAGGAAAGAGCCCTGAAGAAACAGTTTGTGGATTACGCCACCGAAAAACTTCAAATGATCATCAGTTTCACCAGCTCAAACTGCAGCCACCAAGTGCAGCAGTAAGTGTTTTTACATCAGAGTCCATTTGAAATCAGATTTTGGTCTGTAAGGAAGCTGTTTTCCAAATTTGGATGCATTTTGAGTCATTTTGAGATGAATACAGCATTAGGGAACTGCTATCAATGACGTTCACTGCAGCTGAAGAGCTGTTCTTTTCATGCAAGTCGTCCTGTATGTTAAAAGTGTTCTTGTGTGTCTGATAAAGAGAAATCGCCAGCACATTCGCCCAACTCTGCCAGCAAGTCGACATCACCCAGAAGGAGCTGGAGAATGGCATCCAACGGCTCACCCACAAGATCCAGAAGCTGGAAACTGTACAGAAGCGATCCAAAGTGCTCAGGTCAGTGTCTGAGCCATCATTAATGGCAATGGAGACTATTTGGACTCCGTATCCGGTTAACAAATGGATCCGGAGACTTCTGTATTTCTGTCAAGCTTTGAGTTGCACCTTAGAAAATGTGAGGTTTTCCACATCTCTAATATTGATCGTGTTGAGGCGTTTGTAATCATAGCCACGTTTCCTTTCCTAGACATAAAGCCACGGCTCTGGAAAAGCAGCTGGAGGATTTCAGCTCCCAGTATCTTCGTCCTCAGCCCTGATTCTGCGTTCACACGGACGCTCGGCTGCTTCCAGAGTGATGTAACTCGTGAATACTGTACACCCTGCTGTTTAGGGAATTCTCGACTCGCCAGATGTTGCAAGGAATGCAGAGGGGGAAAATTGTACTTGTATTTAACTGTAAAATTTGTATTCTTGAATTAAAGCTGCTTTCAGTGCTGTATTTTGGTTGAGTTTCACTGGAACTGAACTTGAAAACACTCCCCTATGATGCAAAACATAAAGGAAAAAAGCATCTGGAATTTCAAAATGGAGTCAGTTTTGCTGTTCAGGTTCAGCGTAATGAAGGAGTAAAACTTTCATTCTTATACAGAGCCTTTTTCTTCAGAAACAGAATTCATGTCATCGGGAATTCAGAGTTGTGTAGATTTGCCTTTTGATCACAAAGCCTGTTTTCTGTTTCTTGAGAGTCTAACCCCAGATTCTCTTTATGAATTTTCTGTTATTTCTAAACATGTAAATGTGATATCCTGGAATCCCAATGTAAAAATTCCTCCGGTGTAATAAAAATATAATAAAATATTATTAACCCTCCTGTTGTGTGTAAATTTCAACCATGTTTTTAATGTGTGGGGTCAAATTGACTCCAAATATTTAACTATATCAATAAATTACTCAAATATAGTTTATTTTTATTTACTTACACTTTATTTACTTACACTAAATACACTTTTAGGACAAAACATAACTTTTTGTTTTTTATATATTTTTTTTTATTGCTTCATTTACACAGGAAAAAAACATTGTTTCTGAGATTTGTTCTTCTAAATCACACTCATCATCCAAATATTGACATTGTGGGGACATTTAGTTGGGCCCCATGAGAAAACAGCTTTTTGTTTTTTTTTGGGAAATGTGAAAATGCAAAGTTTTGTGTGAGCGGTAGGGTTAGGGGAATGAAAATACAGTTAGTACAGTAAAATTATGTCTAATGGAAAGTCCCCATATAATATGGAAACCCAACAACAATCATTTTTGATAGATGCTTGTACAGTTTTGAAAATGTGTGTACAGTGTTTGTAAACATTGTATGAAATAGTAGATAAAGGTATATGAAACGGACAAAAATTGGCATTCATATGCGGTACATTAATAGTAAAATGTAAATGAACTCGTTCGTTTACTTAATATAAAGTTTATGGTAAAGTTTACTTTTAAGTGAAAACGCCTATGAAAAACCAATTACAATTGATTAAATGTTTTGTTTTGAGTTGAAAACGGCATGTAATATAACTTTCCCTAGATATCTAGCCCAAAAATCCATATTTAAATATAACTGCACAAGTTTAAAAGACAATCAAACCGAACACATCTTAGGATATGGTTAAAAGTCTTTTTATTGGTTACAATATCATTGTATGGCAGCATTAACACCATGTTACTTTACAAATACCAAAAAAAAAAAGTTTATTAAAAATGATTATTTGAAAATATGGGCACTGTGAAAGAACACAAGGCAAAACACTCCTGGTTGTATTGGCTCAAAAGAAAAAGAAAGAAACAAAAAAGGAATATGAAGCTTACAAATCGAGCCAAAAGTATATTATGAATACTTAAAACACTGGGGTTCTAACATGTACTGTAATACTACAATGCTCTTTCATTGCCGAGTTTGAGTGGTTTGGAAATAATGCGTGCAAACAAAAAAAACAACGCATTTGGAAAAGTCATCCATGGTATTCATTAATTAAAGCTCTAAAACATCAGCATTTCAGCCACTCTTATGGCAGCTATATGTTAAAACTGCCGATTTCAGCGGATCCAGAACCAACCACTCAAATCTTCAACATGATCGTAATAAAACAACCACAAAAAGAATCACTGAGCGGCAATCTTGCAACCTCTACAGTACCAACAATAGAAATCTGACTCAAATCTAACCAATACGAATAACACCAGCAAAAATCCTGTTTAAAGTGAATTCTAAATGTGACATTATTACCAAAGACATCCCCTTTTCACAGTTAATCATCATAAAACTCGGCATAAAACAAACTAAAATCAATTCCTTTATGGAGCAGTGAAAGGGTTTTTATTCATGCTAAAAAGCACTTCTTGCAGAAAAAAAATACGTGTTATAATAATTTCAAGCTGCTTTCCGATTCCCTTTAATATAAAAAGGCAAAGTATTTTAAATGCTTTTCACAGTTATATGAGGTGTTAAGAGCGTTAACAATATCACTGTTTTAATCAGGCTTATTAAACTGGGTCTCAAACCAGCATTAATCTGGCAACCGCAACAAACACAGGCATACTGTCAGAACTGATGGCACATAAATATGGCGAAAGTGAGTAAACGGCTTCATCGCTCTGATCTACGATTTTTGATTCATTGAAAAATTAAGCCAAATATAGTGACTCGGTGAGCAGTTTAACCATCCTGACCAGATAGTGTTCTTCATTTCCACCTGTTTGCACACATTTACAAGCTGAAACTCTCAAATTACGCTTAATGAACACCAAAAAAAAAGTATATATACTGTTTTCAATACGTTCCATCTTTATAACACTGCAACACTTCAATTTAAGAGGAGGGTTTGTGGCCATTTCTAATTTAAAAAAAAAGAAAAATAGAAAAAGCGAGTGTTATGAATTCATTCAAAGCACAGATTTCTTTGTAAGCACCAAGAATAGGAATTTATATACTAGGATTAGTTCTGTTTTGATCACTAGTATTTAAGGCTAAAGATCAAGAGCAGATCGATCATGAATTTTGTTATCAAATTAAAAACAAGGCATCAAAATGCTTCGAATTAAACATTAGATCTCAAAGCTGTGAGAAAATTCAGTGCCTTCTTTCCAAACACCCTCAAGCACCAATAAATGATTGATTTAGTGGCGTGTAAAAAAAACAATCTGCATAAAAACACAATGTGTTTTATGCTTTTGTTTTCCAATGCACGAAAACCTCACATACAATTTTTGTAATACAGCCTGTTTGCAACGTTCCATTTAGTTTAGCGTTGTTTTCTATGTACAACAAACAAACAACAAAATACAAAAAAAGTGATTAATAAAAATGTCATGGGCCAATGATCAACTAGAAAAATATATACATGAACACTATGTATGTATATACTATATGGTATATACATACACATAATGCTGTACATATATACCATATCTATATTCATATACATGTATATTTACATATTACACAATGACACTTTAATAATCTCTTCCTATAATTCCTGTGGCCGGCAGTGATGATTGGCTTCTCCACGGGATGGAACTACATACTGAAAATCATGTGTAATAACTGGAATACAGAGGAACTGCTGTGGAAAGACGTAGAAATGGGACCGGAGGAAACTGGAAATTTTAATACCATTCTCAGTTCCAGATCCGAAGGAAACTGTCCCATGATCCCGTGGCCACAGCCATCCCATCATCAGGTACTCCTAAACAGCTCACTCTGTTGTCATGACCGGCCAGGACACCTGGAGAAAGAGAGAGGGATCGATACAGGTTATCATAATGCAAAGCAAAAAAAAAATAATGTAATTTTTTTTTTTAATAAAAATACTAAGAAAATTAAATGACAACAACACAAAACACATAAATAAATAATTACAAATATGCAAGCAAATGCAAATAAATTAATAAAACAAACAATAATCAAAAACAATAACAGTAAAAATAACATTTACAAAATTATAAAATAAAATGATAATCAAATAAAAATTACAAATAAGCAAAAAAAAAAAAAATTTATAAAAATAAAATAAACTTACAATAAAAATATAAAAATAAAATAATAAAACAAAAATAAAAAAAATAAAATAAGTAATTAAATGAATATAAATAAATATATGCACGCAAATGCGAATAAATCAATAAAACAAACAATAATCAAAAAATAAAAAACTGAAATAAAAATACAGTAAAAATAACTTTAATAAAATATATTATATTATTTAATATTATAAAATAAAATAAATGATAATCAAATAAAAATTACAAATAAGCAAACAAATATAAATGTATAAAAATAAAATCAAAAAATAAAATAAATAATAAAAAAAAATCAAAAATAAAAACATTTAATAATAATACAAGTAATTAAATAATATAAATAAAAATATGCAAACAAATAAATTAAAAATAGATCAACAAAATAAACAATAATACAATTAAATACAAATACAAAAAAATAAATAATAAAAAAGTAATAAGATAATCAAATTATAAATAAAATACTTAAAAGCAGACAATATAAAATAAATAACAACAATAAATAATAATAAAAGCAAACAAGAAAATAAATTAAGAATACAAATAAATTATAAAATATGCAAACCCACCCCCTATAAAACACATACACTTATATTTACAAAATGTTTTGCCCTTACCTGCACGTTCGCCTTTTAAAGTGTCCCAGACGTTGCAGTTGAAGTCGTCGTATCCAGCCAGCAGGAGGCGTCCACTCTTGGAGAAGGCCACGGAGGTGATGCCGCAGATGATGTTGTCGTGAGAATACATCATGAGCTCCTGATCCGCGCGCAGGTCAAACAGCCTGCAGGTGGCGTCGTCTGAACCCGTTGTGAAGGCATTTCCATTCGGAAAGAACTGCGAGAGTAAACAACCGAATTCAACACAACCGTCCATGTAGAGGAGCTTCTACACCACCCCATCTAAACAAATAGCAAGCATGATTTTAAACATCTTACGCAGACGGCATTTATATCCGAGACGTGGCCAGTGAAGGACTGCCTGCACATCCCGTCTCTGATGTCCCACAGTTTAGCAGAAGCATCGCAGGCTCCTGACACGAAAGTCTTTAAATCAGGACTGACCGACAGACTCATGACATCCCCCGTGTGTCCGGTGAAACTGGTGGTCTGCTGGCCCGTCTCAATGTCCCACAATGCACTGCAACAAGAGACACAGGAGCAAAGCTGAACACAGGTTCCATTTGGTTTCAATCAAAACCAAACGCTTTTAATTCAAAGACAACCTGAAATAACAACTATGATGCATTTAATATTGCAATAAATCATTCCTGTAGCTCAAACATTAAGGTCATGGGTTCGACTCCCAGGGAATGCATGAGCTAATAAAATATATATTATTAAATGCAATGCAAAACACTTTGGATAAAAATAAATAAATAAATAGAAAATAAATAAATGATAAAATATACAATGAAAAACAAAATAAATATTAAAAATAGTTTTTAAAAATTAGCTAAATTAAATAAAATGAATGCAAGACGCTCTGAATACAACGTACAACAAACGTGAATTTCAAAAAGAAAAAATGAAGCTAAAATATGCACATGCCAAATAAAGTTAACGCCGCATATACCATTTATCCCTTGACATACTAATACTAGACCATTATAATTAGTTTAATTATTATTATTGTATGTAACATTAACTCACCATGTGGTGTCACCAGAGCTGGTGATGATCTGATTGTCATCAAGAAAACGACAGCAAGACAGATAGCCTACAGAATCATTCATAAATTCATTAATTATGTATTTCATTGATTAATGATGTATTGTATGAATTGCCACACAGAAAGAATCGTTTTAGAGCAGGGC